ATTTAGGATGATCAATAATCTGAACAAGGCCAGCACACTCAAACCTTTATTCATGATGACTCGTGACTTTGTGCTAGCACAGCTATTGACGGCCCCCAAGTGTTCTGTGTAACCAATTTCACTCGCAAGGCTTGGGTCAACCCATGGTATGGTTTTCAAACACTTTCCAAAGGTACCGCATGCTGGGATTGTCCCCTCCAGTCTCCTTCCTGACAAATCAACCATGGTGAGACTTGAACATAATTCTCATGGTCAGAAAGCAAACATTCTAACCACTTGGCTATATATATATATATATATATATATATATATATATATATACATACATATACACATCATCCGCATACAGGCTGGTTTCATTGCATCACAGCTCATCAGAGCTACTAAACAATCGAATGCTTCAAGCCAGGATCAAAACCCAACCAATTTACACACACACAATTCTTGTAATAAAACAATATATATGTATGAAAAAGGTATATATATATATATATATATATATATATATATATATATATATATATATGAGAGGGATAAAAAAAGGCCAATATCTCCAGCATACAAATTACAGAATCTTTTAGAATTCTAAAGTACCAAAGCATTTGTGCAATCAGAGATAAAATACAAACACTGTATCTTAAGCCAATGAATATTTTTGGAGGAGGTGGATGTAAAAAGTTCAAGCCCAATAAAAAAAAAAAAAAAAAAAAACAGTTTGGTCAATTTCAAGAAGTTGGTTGAACTAAGAACTTTTCATTACCTTCTCCTAAATAGTAGGTAATTGTAGCAGAGAATCTGGTTAACCAAATAAGAGACTCAGAGTTGATTGTGTGTAGTGCAGTAAGCACCATGAGTTACACCCTCTTCCACAATTGGCTGTTGAGAGAGGACATTCTACTTACAGTAGCTGGTGCTAACAATTTTCATATGAACAATACTGTGCAGGTATAAGCCAATAGTCAGCATGGGCTAGGATTGGAAGAACTATACAACACCAGTTTTTTTTCAATCAAGAGAGCGTGCTATCAATGTGTGGATAACCAGACAAGACAAACACAAGCCATTTAGGCAATTATCAAGACTGTACTGCCACAGGAGGAAGCAATCCAAGATGACACTTCCCGACTGTGGCAGTACAGTCTTCCCGAATGTCTGACTTTGGACTGTGAGACTTGATGGTGCTAAGTGCTTGGTTAGAAAATCCCTTTGAGAGTGAGCAAGTTCCCGGAGACTCCACTCCAACTGTTATCATGCATCGTAATACCTTCTCCCTCTGCGAAAAGCTCATAAGCCACCTTCTTAGGCCAGCAGCAACATTCTTGACAAGCCACTGCAATAACCAAAGGGTGGGATGACAAAACCTGCAACACCCCTTCCCTTGTGAAGCACATGTAATAAGAGGGTGTCAAAAAGACCCTGCAAGAGGTTGCTGGTGTGTGATCAGCCAGGAAATGACAGTGTGGGTGGATGCAAGTTCTCAGGCCACTGGGGTGGTATTGGAAGTGAATGGAGGACACATACTGGCGTTCACATGACAGTGACACTCGACATATCAACCTACTTGAGCCTGACACAATGTTAAAGGGCATAAACTTGGCCTTGCAGGTGAAAGTTTTGCATCTGGTCACTGATTCCGCATGTACTCACCGCTGGATCAACGACACCTTGACTGGAAAGGCATACCTGAAAACGAAGGCAGTGTGTGAGATGCTTGTATGGAGACGACTAGGGACTCTTCAAGCACTAATTGCAGACTATGGCCTCACCTTGGATGTAAGGCTGACTAAATCCAACCAAAATAAAGCTAACAAACTTACCAGAGTTCCACAAAGGTGGTTGGATTTGTTGAAGAAGGACACTAAACCTATCCTCTCAGCATGTGGTGCAGACATGGGAGAGTTGATGTCATACGAAATAATGGAAATACATCAGCATAATGGTTACCCTGGTGTTAAGCACACCACTTTGTCAGATGAGTTGATCCCTCCATACCTAGCACAGCTGTCAAGATCATGGTTCAGAGGTGTCTGGATTGCCAGTCCATATATCCAGCACCAGAGTGCTGGCAGAATGGAAGACTAGGATGGATATCATGTATTACAGCCAGTCATTACCTGACCTTGATTGACTGCAGACCCACATAGTTAAATATTTGGCGACCCATAGTGTGACAAGATTCTGAGAGCGTTATTCAACAGTTGGATTCGATATTTTGTGAGAGGTCCACCATACAAAATTCTCACCTACAATGATACTATGCAGGTCATTCAAGGATTTCATAGAGGAAATGGGGGTGGGGTGAGGGCTAGCGTCCAGCTGCACTCTTGGTGAACACATGTACCATCTAGAAACAGGATAATAGAAATGTGTCATAGGAGCATAAAATGGATTGTAGCATGGAAGCAGTGCCCTATACAAGAAGCTGTATGTACCGAAGGATGACATGTAAAGCCCAACTGCATTATCTAATGCAATTCATACTTATGAGGTTAGGCTCAAGGGCATTTACTTTGTATCTGCACTACCACCATTGACAGAGCACAAGACATTAAGTGGGAAACATGGTGAAGGTGAGATCACCCCAGAACCAATGTACCTCCAAATTTACAACTGGGGAGGTCACTGGGATCATCAGTCCATAATCTGTCCTGATTGATGGTGTGCCGCATCATGTTAAAGACCTCTGACCGGCATGAGACCAATGCTCTGCCTCAAGTGATGCTGATGAATCATCCACAGCAATGGGGATTTGAAGTAGATTCTCAGCTCTTTGACATGACTCCTGCTACAGTAGAGACAGTGGTGACAACAATGAGGATAAAGTACCTACTCTGTGAAGGAGCACCAAATGAAAATGCCTGCCCCCTGCATGTTGTTGCTGTGATCAATGTAACAGAAAAATCAGATCAACCCAATAAGAAACTCAGAATTGGTTGAGTGTGGTGCAAGTAAGCACCAAGAGTTACATCCTCTTCCACAATTGGCTGCTGAGAGAGGACATTCTACTTACAGTAGGTGGTGCTGACAATTTGCATGTTAATGATACTGGGTAGGTATTAGCCAATAGTCAACATGTGTCCGAGACTGAAAGAGTTGTAAAACACCACCAGTTTTTTCTCAGTTGAGAAGAGCACTCTCAACATGTGGGAAACCAGACAAGATGAATACAGCAATCTAAAATGCTTCCATTTTATGCTTTTAGAATGAATTTGAGACATTTAGTATTAATTAACTTTATTCAATAAGATTACTTTTGACAATAATATCAGTGTGCAAATGCACACTGATATTTAAAAAAAAAAGATTTATTGTTTACACTGAAAACAGAAAATAAGTAACATTTTTAGGATATTAAGTTTTTTTTTAAGATTAAAAAACAAAAAAACCCACATGCAATTCATGGAGAATATAAGAGCATGACAGTAAGTGTCAAAAACTTTTCATGAGCAGTGCTCCAGTTGATATATATGCAATCCAATCAAGATATTATTTGAGAATAATTTTACATTATGTGGCAGGAGTGAACCAACATATAATTTTTAACTCAAAATATCCAAATCAAGTGTGAAAATCAAATTACATCAACTTGATTATCTTAGTTGTTGCTTCCACATAAGTGAAATTTTTTTTTACTGAGCCAGGTTTCATATCCCATATATGATTTATGACATTAACAATGTCCTGTATTTTTTAAACAGATTGTGATGGTTAATGAAAAAGGAATACATTACAATGATTCTGAGAGGATGGAATCCTGAAGTGCCTGAAAGATGTCAGATTGTACAAGAAAAAACAAAATATATTGTTGAATAAAGTTAATGTTCAGTTTTATTTTTACTTAAACTGAACAAATGTTTTCTGTAACATAAAAGCTGCATATACTCCTACATTGTTTAAACTAGTTTTAAAATTAGAAATACAAACAGGAGAAAAAGTAATAATATATCTCTGAGGAGTAATTCAAACAGTCATTCAATTTTGCAGATGTGAATCACTTGTAAGAATCTTACACAAAGCTTACAAATTATATTTTCTTATTTCTTAGATTCAGTAGATATAGGTCATAAGTTAGTCTTAAAATTTGAAACTATATTTGCATAACAAAGTGTACAGAATTCAAAAGTAGAATTGAAGCGCACTGATACGCTCAAATTTCTGGAATCAGATACAAGCTAACCAACTTAAATTTGTACATTTGGGTTTTTAGTATTGACAATAAAAATGTTAATGAATATTTGGTCATAAAGATGTTTTTTAACCTGTCACTATATTATTTTAATATCTTCAATTAGTTACAAAGAACAGTATCTATTCTCCACAAGATTACAACATTTCTATTTCTTTCTCAGTTTAATTTAGTGTTGCTTTTGGTAATATTATTAAATGTTCAGCCCAGGGATTGAACACACGATTACTATATCACCAAATTCACAAATCAGTTGCAGCTGTAAGGAAAAAAAGAAAAAAAAAGCACAAGCAGCAGCACTCTTAAGCATGCAGGTTAGGTTTAAGGCAGCAAGTTCCCCAAGATAATAGCCTAGTGGATTAAAACAATGGATCATGAATTTGGTAACATGAATTGTGATTTTAATCCCTAGGCAGGACAGTATGTACTAAAAAAAATAAGAAATAGACAAGATATCCCTAGGCATGGGCAGTGAAATGAGAACAGTCCATTCCTGTAGATTAAATAAAGTGTTCAGTTTGGAATCTCTTGTTGGTTAGCTGGACTGACATAAGTAATAACAACAAAAATGAGGACAACAGTCCGTATGAAAATAGTGCATAAAAAATAATTTCACTAACATTGGCTTATAGCTAAAATTCTTATCAAAATCATATAGCTGAAACTCCAGTGGTGAAACTAATGTTAAATAAGAGGAAAAAAAAAAGCTGGCTTAATATAGGGAAATGAAAAAGTATCAAGACAAAGTATACATAATACTTTATCAGAGCACTAAATATTATGGAACCGTTATAGAACACAAATGTATAACTACCTTGGTGGCATATTCCACTGATCACTTTGATTAGGTCTCCATCTGAAAATAAATGAAAAATCGTCTAAGAAATTTTGTAAGATAAGATTATCAACAACATTCAGGAAAAGTCTCCTAATTTTATATTGCAAAATTTTTAATTACAATGAGTAGACTGAATCAACAATTTGGCTAATACTTAATCTTAGCCAACAGCAGTATTAACATTTTTAAGACAGATTGAATTAACATAAAACAATGAATATATATTTCCAAGTTTAATAGTTATAGATTTTCTAAGTGTTGACAAAGGCAAACTTACAAAATTAATAAAATGTTTAGGTCAATGTTAACTGAGAAATTAAATTTAAGAGAAAGAATAATGTATAACAAAACATTTCAAAAGTAATTTCAAGAATTTAGAATACTAAGTCAAACTAATAACCATAAAGATTTATTTGCCTTGACAATTTTTCCACACTATATACAAATATTTAAAATTTTTGTTTGAACAATTAAACTTGTATTACCAGGGCAATTACTTTTTCAGCCTTCAAGTGCTTTAAGAAAAAAAAAAAGAAAAAGAAAAAGCTATTTCTTCAGAAAATGGCAATAGAAAAATGATTGCAAATATACCAACCAAATCAGGTCACTTCAGTAATCTTGTATTTTTATGTATGTGTTGTGTATATATTACATAAATGGATTGAATTTCTGTTAAACAAAGCATCAATTACCAATTGTAAAAGAACTGTATATAATTGTTTACTCGTTTTACAAAAATCTGTTTAAAAGAAACAACTGCTTATAAGGAACAAAATTTGTTCTGCTTAAGCAAAATCCACTATATATTTATTTATATCAAGCAGCTAATAAATAATTATGCATCTAACTTCTCTGAATGAAAGGAGTAGAGTATTAAATTGATTCACATATCACATTTATCATTTAATGACAAAACCTGTAGAATTTATGCTATGCTGTCCAAATCTTGGAGATTAAGAATTATTATATAGCTTTCCATTACAACTAATATAATTATCTTGACTGCTATGTTCAGAATGATCCAACTGTTACCGCCAACCATCATATATCTGTTCTAGTTGGTAACTAAACTGTTAAATGGTAATGCAGACACATAGCAAAGATGATGATCAGAAACACCATAACACCAACTTTCATGAGCAGAGGCAGAAGAATTGAGGACAACAATAAAAATCTGCCAGAGTTATATCTACCATCCTTATAAAAACAGGACAGTATTCAAAAGATGTTCAAACCTTTCAGTCATATCACTCCACAACCAAGCCTCCTTAGAAGAGAACATGACCAAGAAATAAGTCCCATACCCTGCAACTGTAGCAAAGAACACAAGATCATGTAGAAGGAAAAAGTGGTAAATTTTAATCTCTGTGGTTAATAGAGAACACTGAAGATAAAATGACTGAAAAATCAGCACACATGTTCAAGTTTGACAACTGCCTAAGTAGACCTAGCATAGGGATAAACATCATCTGGCAGCCTTTGAGAAAGAAAGATGACATTCAAAACTTCCATTAACAATACAGTAATTTAGTTTAAAACTGTAAAATGGGACCATTGGATTGTCCAAGAATCACATGCACTACTAGATTAAAGCATATGTAGTTTCCTGACAGTTGTGAGTTCAATCCCAGAGTTGGGTGATGTAGGAAGTCATGTGCTTTGGTTTAGGGAAAGAATTTCACAAGTGACACAAAGATGAATAGACGAGGGAATTGACTGATACAAGATATCACCTGAAAATGGAATTTAACAAACTATCTCTGTGGATTGTATAAACTGTTCAGCTAAATTTTTTTAGATATAGCTATAATTTCAGATAATTTTTTTTTAATACCCAAGAACTTTGAAATATGATATATTTGTCCATAAAGTTCAAGCCAATTTTTAGATATTCATGTTCCAACATGTTAGAACAAATCAAATTTATCGACAGATATAATCTACTTACATCTCCAATTAGGGCACACTTCAAACAATCTTTTGAGAAAGGAAGTTTAAAATTACTAAATTCGTGTCAATGAAAATGGAAGATTATAAAGGTGCATTTTAGACACTTGATGCTTTTGTTGTTTTACTGGAAAGGCAAAAATGCCTCGCAAGCAACAAAAAATATGTGTACAGTGAAGGTGCTTTAGCTGACAGAACTGTACAGAAGTGGTTTGCTAAGTTTAGAGTTGGTGATTGTAGCCATATTGATGAAGAACACTCAGGGAGACCACCCCCCACTACAGATGACAACCAAATCAAGACATTGATTGAGAATAACCAACATTACACAATGCGTGAATTGACAGAAACACCAAATTTATCAAAATCCACCATCTATGAGCATTTAGTGAAGCTTGGGTACTCAAATTGCTACCATATGATCTGATTGAAAAGAATCTTTTGGATTGCATTTCATCTGTGATTTGCTGTATAAATGCAATGAAAATGCACCCTTTTTAAAACAAATTGTGACAGGTGATGAGAAATGGATCGTTTACAACAACGTTCAGTGAAAAAGATCCTGAGGTAAGTGACATAAGCCAATTTTAGTCACCTCAAAAGCAGATCTTCATCTTAAGTCATGCTGTGCATTTGGTAGGATTGGAAAAGAATCCTGTATTATAAGCTACTGCCAAGTAACCAGTCAATTGATTCTGAAAAGTACTGCTCACAACTGGATGAATTAAAGACAATTCAAGAAAAATGCCCAGAATTGATGAACAGGAAAGGTGTTTTCCATCAGGATAATGTCAGACCTCATGTTTCTTTGGCAACTTGGCAAAAATTGTTGCAGCTTGGTTGGGATATGTTACCCCACCTGCCATATTCACCAGACATTGCTGCTTTGGATTTTCATTTATTCAAGGCCTTGCAAAATAATCTCCAGAGTAAAATTTTTTTTTAATTCTTTGGATGACATATATAAAATAATAAGAAAAAAAAGAAAAAAAAAAAGAAAAACACCTTAATGAGTTCTTTGCCAAGAAACCACCAAAGTTCTGGGAAGAGAGAATCTTTAAGTTGAAGGAAAAATGGAGAAAGGTTGTGCAGCGAAATTGTTCATATTTAATTGAATAAATATTTAATGTCATAATTTTAGTTTAGCAACATGCACATACAACCATGGATTCACATTCTGAAAAAAAAAAAAAATTTTTTTTATTTTGTACAAATTGATTTGAAAAAAAAAAAAAAATTGATCCAGTTATAGTTTATGCCAGTAAAGTTTGGAAAGAAGATCAGGATTTCAGTTGGAAAGTGACCATTAACACATTTAAATTATAACTTCAGTTCATATTTCTCAAAATAACTTCAACTACATAAACAAATTCAGGTTATTTTATCAATGAATGCTTACAATTCATTTTGATTTATTTATTATACAAGTTAGTTTCTATTTTAACATAAATACCTTATAAATAAATAGGTACCTCCAAAGATTCACTAAAAAATGAACCTGATGAAAAAAATGCACAAAACTTAATAAAATCAAAGTTTTATCATCGAAATCTTTGTTATTATTAAGAGGAAAGACCAAATGAGTTTTTTTAATTATTAAATTATATTTTTCAATCCCTTTTAGAACATTCAAAGTTTTGTTTTTCTTCTGGCAATAAGAAATTTTAGTTAAAATCAAATTATTGTCAGATTTTAATGAAACATTCAGGACTTTTACAAATGAATTAAATTATTTTAGATTTTTTTTTTTTTTTTTAAAGAAAATCTTGGTAAAAACATTTTTTATAATCTGTTACCCACCACTTATTAGATTTTATGAAATTTTGTGAAATTAATTTTTGAATCATTTAATGTCCATATTAGCTATACGTAAAACTTCTTGGAGAATTTTTATCATCATTTTTTTTTCATTCTGTAAAAAAGGACCACCAGTTAACAAAAATCTCCTCTGAATTGTAAAAAAAAAAAAAAATGCAATAAATCTAAGACGACATTTAATTACAAAAGTTTTTTTAATTGCTTTTATGAATAAGATATATTATGGAAACTATTGTCTTAAAATTTTTTGGATGAATAAAATTTTTTACAAGAATTCATTTTTTTACAATTTTAATTAAAATAATATATAAAGTTTTAAAATTCTGTATTAATTTGTCTGGAGTAGGTGATATTGTTATTAAGTAAAATCTATATTTACTAATCATAAATAGAAAAATTACAATTCAGCAACCCTCAAAAATTGCAAAAAGAATTTTTTTTTTTTTTGTTTCAGAAAATAAGATTCATAACTACAAAATTATTAGAAAATAAAAAAATAATAAACATTAAATTTAAGAAGAAAGCATCTAAGATTTTAAGATTACTGAAAAATTATATAAAAAATAATTAATGTTATTCATGTAATTTTTTTTTTTTTTTTTTTACAGATATATCCCCCATAAAAAAATTGATAAACTTCTGTCTGTCAAGTTGTTCTCAGCACCCAATCAAAACAACTACCTTGTGTTAAAAAATGCATTTCTGTGATATTTTAAACTAAAAGTAATGTTTGTTTCAAATCAGAAAATTAGATAATATTCCTCAAAAGTTTCAGAAAAGTATATTTTATTTTTGAAAGAATTTTCATTTTAATATAAAGAATTACATAGTACTGACAGATGGCTAAAATCAGCAATTAAAAAAAAAAAAAAAAATTCTTCCAGTCAATTGAAATTAGTTTTGAAATACAGCAAAGTATTTTACTTATTGGAAATATTAAATTTAATCTATTATCTGGAAATTAAAACTAAAATAAAAGCTTCAAGAGATATTTTTCATTTTTAAAAATTAATTTTAAACCTTAGGTATCATTTTCTTGTTTGATATGGGAAAAAATCAATTTACAAAATCCATATCAAATTAAATCATGAAATAAAATACAACTATGAAATACGACTGATACTAAGAAAGGAAATTAAAAATACCAGACGAAGAAAACATACAAAAATATTTTATTCATAAAAAAATTAGCAATGAATTTCAAGGATAAACGTTCAACAATTTACAGCTGTCATTGCTTGAACTGGTTTATAATTTTAAAGTACCTTGCTTCATTTATAAACGAATACGTTAATAAAAGTTTACTAGGTTACTTACTAACATAAAAAAAATTCTAAATCTAGTTTGAAACTTTTTAGACAAAAATATCTAAAAAAATAATTAACTTGTATAACGCAGTGATTCACTTGAAATCCCAGCTCGGTCAAGTTATCAGCTGACTGCACAGTTTATTGATCAATCGCATTCCTCTGCCACAAGTAGTACTGTCAAATCATTACACTGCTAACTAGCTTTCTCCCCATCCCCTTTTTTTTTTCTTTTAAAATTCTTAGAAATATAACGTGTACGATTACCATCAAAAGGAAACATTGAGAAATAAGCATGTCTTATGAAGAAAATAAAGCAATATTGATTATCGAATATTGTACATTCAAATAGATTAATCAATCAATTACCAGTTTAAGAATAATTCAAATACCGTTTGAAAGATTGTTGACATGAACAGATTTCGTTTAATGAAAGTAAACCGCTTTATTTTGATCAGAAATGTTTAAAAGCCAAGAACACTATGATAAAGAGAGACGAAGATTGACATTTCGTAACAACAATAGGGGGTGGGAACAATATATTTTTGTGAATGACCATAATCATTGCCTAATAATGGAGAATGTTAAAGAAAGAGCAACTTTCATTTTTATTCGTTATGGCCATCATAATTTAAAATAGCATTAAAAACAGGTTATAAGTGCGGTTTATTTAACCCCCAGACAACATATAACTATTTCTCAGACCACTTGAATTAGTATTCTTATTCATTACCAATAAAAATAAATAGCCAATACTGATTTCGCAATTAGATGTCGTAAAAAAAAAAAAAAAAAAAATGCAGTAGTGATTTAAAAATAAAAACTAATGTCAGCACCATATTCCAATATCATGAGTTCTTTTATTAAAAACAAAATGACCAAGAGGGTAATTTCAGATTATTTTCATGTATCTGGACATAGGAAAAGAAAACTAATATAGTTGGATGATTTTCTTTTTTTCAAAATCAAGCTCTTCTTATCTTAGTCTTCTTGTCTCTTAAAAGTATATGAAAAACTGATCGTGAAGCGTCCGTTTATGAATGCAATGAAAACTTGGGATAATCCGTTAATAAAATAAAGGTAATTCTTATTGACAAGAAGACCTAGTTCACATATTTATTTATTTAACAATTTAAAAAAAAAATTATTCTGTGGTATCAAAAGATAATGGCTGAGCGTGTTCATCGTTCAACCATAATGGTGGAACAAACAGTTGACATGGTTTAAAATAAAAGTTTGAACAAGTATAATTTTATTTAATTTTTTTTTAAAATATCAAGTTTTTTTTAAATTTAAAAAAAAAAAAAAAAGAAAAGAAAAAAAAAGAAAGTGTATGTAGATGATTAAACAATCAATTTCTTATTCGCATAAACTATGGGTCAAGAAAAAAACGATTACAATTTATTTTCAAAACGCTCTCTTATTTATTTTTTAAAAATTTAAAAGCTTTTATTTTATTTTTTTAAGTGGACAAAATACAAGAAAAGTATATAATAGAAATAGAATGACCGACATTCAAAGTAGTCAGGAAACTCAAAATGACTAGTATTTTTATTTAAAAACAAAGGGAAAAACACTAGTAGATATTAATTTCGGCAAAAGATAAGCTATCAGATTTCTTAAAGGAAATATTAAATATTCACTAGAGATCAATAAAAAATACAAAAAAATAAAGCACGATTAGAAATTTAAGTAGTCAAATAATCGGGGCTGAGTTTGTAATAATTTTCAATGTGTAGAGTGAACCCCGATTTTATGACCACCTGCAACGAATATACTATACGGCCATAACGGGGTTTCATAAAATCGGCCCAGATTCAACCTAATTTATGCACAAGAGCTTGCTGGGGAAATAGGTGCAATAATCGTTTTATAAAGAGTTAAACCATCTTTCTTGTTATTTTATACAAAAAATAACAATTATCTTGCTCTAAACCTTATTCTGATCAATAGATAGATTCAACTACTCCTCGTGGATAAAATGGCAGGAGGAGACAGACAACTCAGGTGATGTTAGACATTGAGCCAATAATTAGATTTCAAGGACACTTCTCATACCTACATGCAAACACTATATTTTTCAAGTTATCTTTTTTCAACACAACCAGTAATGAATGGCATATTCGATGTTAGATCTGATATTACATTTGGTATGTACAATACAAACCTTCCACCAGCGTTGTTTCGACCTTTTCTCTTGCTTGGAGCACTCATCGCAGTCGCCATTTCTTGTATCTATCGCGATTCTCGCATCTGGTCCTCAAAATTCCGTGATCAGATGTGTAAAGCGATCAGACAAGGCTCGATCGTACTATTAATTTGTACAATCGAATCATCAAGTCGGTAGAAAACGCTTAAAAAAAAAATCAACCAATACTTAAAAAAATGTACAACCTTCAACGAAGTCTGAGTTTCCACACACTGTAGTAGGCTCAGAATGCGACACGCGCAAACTTACAAACTACTTTATGATGTGACGCACTACTTTATGATGTCACTTAGGCACTAATTACTACTACTATTCAACTAATATTACATTTTTAATGTTTAATTTTATTTTTAAAATCGTCTAAACCTAAATACAAAGATATTTTGCTTTAATGGGCAATCATACTGTCAATATTAAGAGTGCATCTGCGATCTATTTTTTTTTTTACTGAAAATGGTTGTGATTTGTCTACGACAGTGACTCCAATCCAATTGAGTGAATTCCTATGAAAGCCTAGTTATGGTAAAAGATATGGTGCATGATACTATTTAAGTGTCTCGGAAATTATGCAAAATATAGTTTTGAAAACTAGAAACCGTAGTTTCCTCTTAATATTATATGTTTATAATGTGACTCAATTAATTTAATTTCGCATCAGGTGTTTAATTTCACACAAATTGTGCATTATTGTTCATCCGTAGAAGTTAAAATGTACAGGAAACAGCTCCGGTTATTCTACGGAAACGCGTTTCACGTCTAATATAAATTTGATGAAAATTTAAAGTTATTAGCAATGTTTATTCATATTTTAAAGATTGAATTTATAATAACAGCTGAGTAAATTATTGACAAATGTTTTTTTTCCAATGACCATGGCCACGTAAACTAAACACCAAAAAAATCGAGACTAGAAAACATGCGCAGATAAGAAATCTCGACTTCCGCCGAAATTGTTGGTTGACTACAACGATGAAGAAAAGGAACATTGATTTAAAAAAAAATGGTATCTAATTTAAAAATGGTAAAAATAGGCTAAAGTCGTTATAGCTGAAATACAAAATCAACGACAAATGTCTTCATATTTTCGGACAAACAAATACTGTTGACACATATATGTGTGTGTGTATGTATGTATGTATATATTAGTTATATTTACCTCCCCTCTTCTGTTTGGGTAAATAGGAGGAGAGAAAAACATTCATGGACGAGTAAAAGTAATAAATTAACAAAAGGAATTTTCTAAATGGATCAGTAATACCAATCAGGATTAAAAGTAAAGTGGCTTTGCATTTATTCGTGTCAAGCCTTTACGGGAGCTTATTCACTGGATACCTACATGCCTTCATATACATTGCATGCAGTCATGCATTGTACAATAATGTACATACTAATATTCACCTTCAACAATTTATGGTTGAAACACACGTAAGTTAAACGTGTTTATAATTATTAAGCTATGTCACAGTGATATATTTAATTACAAAATCTTTTTCTTATTTATGTGATGTGTAAAAAAACTAAAAAAAGAAGCATTATTTTACAATACTTGAACAATTATAGACTTCTGCTGCTGCTGCTAAATGAAGTGCTTAAATAATTGCACTTTCTATGCACAATTTTTACCTCTTGTTTTTTTAACGGATTCATTAAACAATCCATAGTTCTGTTATATCGCTCAGTTTTCTTAACTGAAGATAACTGAAAACCAATCAAACATTTTTTTTATTCACTATAAAGCTGACACCGAGATCAGTTACAACAATAAGGACATCCCACTCCCCAAAAAATAATATAAATAAAGTAATAATAAGGAATGGCCAACGCTCGACCAGACAGACCAACATCGTTTGAGGGAGGGGCAACTGAAGGGGAAGAAGATGACGACAATAATGTCGACAAATCTTCACCTAAAGATGAATCTCTTACATCTAACAATAAACAAAATGGTGTTCCTCCTGTACGGAATGTTGATCGTTATGGCTTTATGGGCGGCGACCAGTATACCAGTCCAGAAGAGTAAGTTACTTTTATTTTCATTGATTTACATTTTTACATTGACTTCCTCGAATTAGCTTTCCACTTGTGACCTTGTCAAGTCATAATGTGTATGTTGAAGGAAGTGTTTACCGTCGAAACCTTTTTGAAAGTTTTGTTGATAGTTTTTTACTTTTAAAGAAAGTCTCCCCACACTTTTTAAAAACGTTTTCTCCGTCACTGAAAGCTGAAAAAAAGACGATGTCTAAGTTTTTACGAGTCTCTTGTAAACACTACGATAAACTTTTGTTAAAACTGCACTATTTGTATTTATTTATCTAATTAAATTTTAATTTTGAATAATTAATTACATAGCCGTTATAATTTGTCTTGATGGCTAGTGATATTTTCAATACAAATTAAGAAACCAAACCCGTTTTTGTCGTTTTATTGTTCACTGTTAGTTTTCAGTAAAGTTATTATGCCTGATTAGTTCGAAATGTAAATTGACGGACCACACGTTGTGTTGGTTGATGTCGAGAGATAACCTAATGAAAAAACCGCTAAACTTTGACTTTATTTTTGAAATACAACTCGGTCGTTTAAATTCTAATTCATCAGCTACCCACATGATAATATTATTGTTGCAGATATCTGTAAGCTAGAAAAAAGAATATATTTTTCAATTTTTATTTTAACGATGCAAACAAAAAATCAAAGTATGTCAAAGCGTTGTAAAATAGACATTGATGTAGAAAATTGTCAGGATCATCTTTTTTTTTTTAATACTCATTTCTATAATAACTGAAGTAAAAAATGTTAGATTTTTGTTTAAAATACTTGTAGTAAATCATCATTTATGGTTACGAGTAGTATGCAGCATGCAATACATATTTTGCGGTGTGTCATGTGGTTCTGCATAATTTTCCGAGCGTATGTTCGTCAAATTTTAATTAATTTAATAATTCGTTTTATTTTTACATCGTAAATAATAATGATTTTGTTTAACAGTTTAAAAAAAAAAGAATTCACATTTATTTTTCTCTGATTACGTCATTTAATTTGGGGTTAAGTTTGTTTCGTCTTTTTGTCAAACAAACTTTATTGCATGATTGTTCGATTGAATCAAAACTCCTCCCTTTCAGTTCGTTTTATGATGCAGCAGAAACATAATGACTCCTCTTCTTCTTGACATGCAATTTTTATGTCAGTTTTTAAAGCGAGGTAATCCTAAATCAAACTTATTGAACATTCCTTTATTTTATTTTTTGTATTATAAATTAAAATCTTTGTTCGAAACAAGACAAAAATATTGTATCGGCGATGAGTTATGTGCACAAAATGATAAAAAAAAAAATATAAAACTATCCAGTTCAAAGCGGATTAAATAATATTTTGCATTCAACAAAACATCTTCAGTAGATTGAAGTGACTGTCATAAAACAATTATTATTCGTCCACATTGTCAATAATTTAGTATGCGACAGCGCTAATTTAAGCGACGTTACTTGCTTCTTGCTTGAGTCTTGACCTGTTCAACAACTTGTTGAATTTAAACACATTTTTCATTTATTACTCTAAGACCAAACCTGTAGTGTGCACAGTGCAGTACTGAATCAATCAAATCTTTTGTTATTATTAATAGATCAAAGTATTCTTTGAATATTAAATTTTTACCTTTTTAGAACATTCAAAATTTTGATTAACTGCATCAATAGTTTGACTAACTTTTAGCATAAAAATTTTAATTTTTTGTTAAAATTTTTAAATTTTTGGAAAATTTATTTGTCAATTTTTAATTTTTTCAAACTTTTATAAAAAAATAAAATTTTTTTGAAATATTTTTGGTTTCCCCCCTTATAATTTTTATGAAAACTTGAAAATTCAGTGGAAATTTTTTGTATATATTATTAAAAGTAGACCCTTTGAAATTTAAATCCCAAATTTTTTTAAAATTGGAATCTATAAAATTGAATTGAAAAAAAAGCAAAAAAAATTTTTTAATTAAAACTTTTAATTTCTTTTAGAAAAATATATTAAAAAAATTGAAAAAAAATTTTGAAAAAAATGAATTTTACAAATTTTTAACAATTTTAAACTGAATAATTTAAAATTTTAAATCTTTAAAAAATTTTAATGGGGTAACTTTAGGGAAAACTATTTAAAAATATACTTACAATAAATTTTAAATTTTCCTGAAAAATTTAATTTTAAAAAATTTGTTTTTTTTTAAAAAACCTAAAATTTTGGGATTTAGTAAAACAATTAAAACTAAAATTTAAAAATTTTTTTTTTTAACTCACAAAAACATGGGAAACTTTTCCCCCGTTTTTTAAAAATAATATTTTTAAAATTTAATTTTCTAATTTTTTTTCCTCCCTAAAATTTTTTTTTATTTTGAAGTTTTTAAAAGTTAAATTTTCTTTAAAAATGTAAAATAAAATTTTTTAAATTTTTTGAAAAAAAGGAAAACTTTTAAAAACAAAAAAAAAAATTATTATTTATAAAATTTTTTTTTAAAAAAAAATTTTTTAAATTTTTTCTTTGGAAAAAAAAAAAATTTTTGAAAAACCTAAAAATTTTTTTTTTTTTTTTTTTCAAATTTTTTAATTAAAAAAATTTTTAAAAAATTTTTTAATTTAAAT